AAATTTTCGACACTGGTGTGTCGATATTCGGAGCATATTTCGACCTGTACACGTCGAATTTTTTGTACTTGAAATGAGGTGCGAAAAACGAGGAAAACGATCACAAAATACAATATTTCTTACCTCTTTGTGTTCTTCGACCTTAGAATCCTCCATATTTATGTCTTGTGTATCCATAATGTCCTTTTTTTTTCAAGTTTTAGTAAGATTTGAGGGTTTTGTGTGATGAGGGTTTTGGAGAATATGGAAGATTTTTTTGTGGAAAAAAATGTGTAAAATGAGTGTGAAGAAGAAGTGTTGGGGTTTTGTTGGGGGAGTGAGTTCCCTCTCGTTTTTTTCCTTTTTTTTTATTCCTTTTTTTTTTTTGTTTTTTTTTTTGGTTTTGCAATAGCGATTAGCCTAATTTGAATTAATAATATCTAAATTAATATTGGAGTTATATTTGTAATTTCCAGTCTTGATCTTAGTAAGTTTATTTATATTTTGGTCTTGCATGAAGTAAGGTCTTGCACTTAGTAATTTTCGTCTTGCATATATTCGTTGCCTTTATGAAAGCGTGAAAAAACATTTGCGCGGTGAAGTAGTTCTTGTTCATTTGTTGTTTGCAATTTAATAATGCAAATTTTAATTTCCAGTTTGCTATTTGCATTTCATAGAGTCATAAACGATAGTACGTTTTTTAGAGTTTGAGTTTGTATAATAAATTAGTAATTTTTTTTCTTACGAATTAATGTTCTTTTTAGTTAAAATTTGGAAGAGAGACATTTGGGGGAATTTAATTTGATAGAAAAATTGTCACGAATTTGATTTGATTTAATTAAGGTAATTTTTGCCACAAAAATATAATATTTATTTAAATAGACTTTGATCTATATTTATTATTTACATAAATTAGAGGGGTTTTTGTGCATAAGTTCTTGACCAACCATCTTTATTATTCTAGGTTCATGGGTTATATTTGTTTCGCCAATAAACTCATCCTTTTAATATGTATTATAAATAAAGGAAAAATTAATGTATATGATAAAATTACCCCTAACTTTTTACACCAAATTCTTAATTGTAACCCTAATTTAATCAATTTTGACCATAAAAATACAATTTGAATTTTTTTTTTCTGAAATTATTTCTTTGCCGCCGGTTTCCGGCGTTGATTTTTCAATAATTTTGAAGTGGCTGTTTTTTCCGTCGCCGGTACCCGGTGTTGACTTTTTTTAGTGATTTTTTTTTTCCTAAAATTTTTATCCATTTTTTTGTCCCCACCGCTAAACGTTGACCGTAATTGTACTGTCATTAACCAGCGACAATAATATTATTTTGTTGGCTCTTTTTTTTTTTTTTTTTTTATTTTGTATGATTTTTTGATAAGTTAACGTAATTATATTACTGTCGCAGTAAAATAACTGTAAACACAATAATATTACTGTCAACCACATCAATATTAATGTGGTTGATAGTTATATTTTTTTGTTTTGTTTGAGTTGTTGACGTAGTAACGTAATAATATTAATGTCTAATATTGTAATATTACTGTAAAAATAATAATATTACTGTGATTGACGGTAATATTACTGTTGTTACAGTAATATTACTATCAACCACATCAATATTAATTTTGTTGCGTTTCTATTATGTTTACCTTTGTTGAACGGTCAATATATTATATTACTCTATTACACAATAATAATGATTTTGTTGTGTTAATATTACTGTGCTAGAGATTAATATAGCAATATCACTGTGTTAAACTGTAATATAGTTAATATTTTTGTTTTTAACAGTTAATATTAATGTCAACCACAACAATATTGTTGTTTAAACGGGGGCAAAAAAATGTTAAAAAATTCAAAAAAGTCAACGCCGGAGACCGGCGAAAAAATCAGAAAGAAGGAAAAGAAAAAAAAAAAAAAAGTAAACGACGAAGACCGGCGGCGACGGATGAAATTGTACTCAAAATTGTGTTTTTGGTCAAAATTGAATAATTAGTGAAAATTGGGGTTAAATTGAGGTTAAATTAAATTAAATGATGAAATCGGAACATATTAAAATGTGAGGGGCTATTTTAATCTTTTATAAACTTCTGAACAACGTATGAATTTTTTTGTAAAATAGTTTTTTGTGCGAACATCTTTATAAATAAATATCCATTAGTAGACTTATTTGTAATGTACAAATTGCCCCGTTGATTTATTGATTCATTTTTTAATTTAGAAAAAAATAAAAAAGTGATTAAAGGAAAAGGAAAAGGAAAATGGAAATGAGAAAGGACTTCGAGAGTGGCCGAGTTATCAGTTTATATCCTAACCTTAGCTGAATTACACACACACCGTGCCAAATAAACAATGGCGGCTGCTATCTCTCCGGCCGCCTCCGCCGCTCTCCGCCTCCTCAAACCATTGTCCGCCGCCCGTCTCTCCTCTCTCTTCACCAATCCCAAATTCAATCACACCAGCGCTCCATTGCTTCTCTTCTCCCACGCCGCCCTCTCCCGCCACCACCGCAGCTTATGCTCCGTAGTCCCCGCCGCCGTATCCTCCGGCGAGGCTACAAAGTCACCCGAACCCCTCGAGCTGGAAAAAGGCGCGAATATTCGCGAGTTCCGCAAGAAATTTAAGATTGTTGACATTAAAGGAGGGGATGATCAGGGATTGGATCGATTGGGCGAGACTCTTGTGGTTAGGGGATGGGTTAGAACACTCAGAGTTCAGAGCAGTGTTACGTTTATCGAGGTATGGCTTTCGTTATTGCTCTCGATTTTTTTGTTAACTGTCAAAGATAGTACCTTTAATTTTTCTCTTGAAACTGTTTACCATGATATTTTGTGTGGCGAATAGGTTAACGATGGTTCTTGCCTTTCGAATATGCAATGTGTAATGAGTTCCGATGCCGAAGGTTACGATCAGGTACTAACGATGATTTTCTCCTAATTTATAGAGATTATTTAGTGTTGATACTACCTGATGTATATATATGTATTTAAAGCAGTGTTCGATGCAAAGGCTTTTAGTTTAAGTCGATACGAGTTTGCTATTAGTACCGCTAAAATGTTTGTCATCAATACTTGCTTCGAGATTGTCTTCGAGCCCTTTTCTTGGCAACAAATGATGTTATAAGAACCTTCTGCGCTGTTCTTACCATGCACCTGATGACTACAGGATTGTTATCACTTTCCTTCAAAGAATTTATTTCTTTTGTTCTAGTCATTTGATATTAGTGTCGAGTAAAGGAAAAAAAAGAAACAAAGATTAGTGTCGAGTACATTTGAATTGGTTATGCTATATTTTCTCCGATCAAGGATAGTGAACTTTTTTACTTACTCCATGTTTCTTGAAATTCCGTTCCAATTCTTCAGGAAGTGAAGTTTATTGGGGATTCTATAGATGTAATACATAGACGTATATATATTATTCCGATGAATTTAAAAATAACTTCTTCTAGAAATTCGTCTCTTCACGAGTAGGTAGTCAGACGATTTGGTCAGAGTAATTGTCGGAGGTTTCATGCACCTGCCTTATAAATCAATTTCAAGTCGACACATAATATTCACCATTAAACAAAAAGAAAAAGCATACAGCTGCTGGAAGTTTCTCATCCCTGGGTGGTCAACTAACCACAACGTACACCAGGCCCTTTTCTCCCTTTCACGAGCCTCCCAATTGATTGAATTGATACTTTTACGGCGTGTGGTCATTGACTAGTTGGTATACAAAGATTACCCTTCGACACTGACATATTTGCTTGTGGATTTGGGTTAAATGTATGCCTTTAACTGCTTTGTGGCTTCTGCATTTGGCATCTTTGGTTGTGTCTTGGTCTTGTTTGCTTAAGTTATTCTTCCAACTACTGAAACGTGATTTCCACTATTATGTCTGTGTAATGTGCAATTCTTAATAGGTGGAGAGTGGTTCGATTGCAACTGGTGCTTCGGTATGGATACAAGGTACTGTAGTAGCTAGTCAAGGCTCAAAGCAAAAAGTTGAGTTGAAGGTCGACAAACTTATATTGGTAGAGACTTCTCTCCCTAATCAAATTGCAATCTGCAATAATTCTTCTTCACAATGTTAATAGTTTCTTGTTTGAGCAGAATCTTAAATGTGAAGTACATTGTCTGCCTTTAATGTTTTGTTTTATACCATAATTTATTTTGTTTCACTAAATCTTTTGTAGATTGGTAAAAGTGATCCTTCGTTCCCTATCCAGAAGAAAAGGGTCAGCAGAGAATTTTTGAGAACTCAGGCTCATCTTCGTCCACGAACAAATACTTTTGGAGCGGTACGACTCTTTTGATATTTTAACGGGCACCCAAATGAAAGATTCCATAACAGACGATTTGGGAACAATAGATTCTCTTGCCCCCGCCCCTGTATCTTATACCCTCTTGGCGCATCTTTTAATACAAAATAAATTGTCGAACAGATTTCTAGCTCCTCAAATGGCCTTTTCTATAAGCAAAATGAAATATCGGCTATATTAACAAGTGTTTGTTTCCACGCTTGGCTTAGGTTGCAAGGGTGAGGAATGCATTGGCGTATGCAACACATAAATTTTTCCAAGAAAATGGCTTCGTCTGGCTCTCGAGCCCGATTATTACTGCTTCTGATTGTGAAGGAGCTGGCGAACAGTTTTGCGTAACAACCTTGGTATGCTATTTCTTTAAAAACAAGCATTGAAGAAAAACTCCTTTTCAAATTTGATATATATATATATATATATATATATATATATGATGGTGCATCTAATACCATTCTTTCCTGAACAGATTCCAAACTCGAGCGAAGCTACAAATTCTCATGTGAACGCCATCCCCAAAACGAAGGACGGGTCAATTGATTGGTCAAAGGTAAGGGCTGTCACTCTTTAATCTATATAACACGTAAGTGTAATAGAGAAACGCATATGGTTTATTTAATTTTTTCTGTTGAGTTGCAAATGGATGCTCTATAGAAAGCTACAATTTACAAATGTAGATATCATATGCTGGCAGACTGGTTCCTCGTGCAATTTACAAAATTAAAGATTTCTTAAGTCTCGTCTATATATATCTGCAGCCGAAGCTGTTTTCTTAGGCGCAATTACAAATTGTGTTTGACATGTTTTTTCTTTACTCTCTTGTTTGGCAGGATTTTTTCGGAAAACCTGCATTTCTTACAGTGTCGGGGCAGCTCAATGCTGAAACATACGCTACTGCTCTCACTGATGTATCGTTCTCTTCTCGTACTTGTTGATTAAAAAAAGCTTTTATATTTTTGAGCATATAGTCTGATACATTTACTAGCTTTGTGCCAGGTATATACTTTTGGTCCTACATTTAGAGCAGAAAATTCCAACACTTCTCGACACTTAGCTGAATTTTGGGTATGCTCTCTCGTACCTTAGCAGTTTTATAATCGTCGTGGTGGCAAAAATCGTAACTTTTTACAATCTTTCTTCAAGATGATTGAACCGGAACTTGCATTTGCTGATTTAGAAGATGACATGGCTTGCGCAACGGCATACCTCCAGTATGTAGTATGTTACTATGCAAACCTATTGTTAACTTACGGTATTATTGAATTGATGTTTTTCCCGCTGCCGTGTATTTCTTAAATTGTTGGGTAACCGACTTGACATTGTTTTTTCTTTTCTTAAAAAAAAAGGTGAAATACATTCTCGAAAACTGCAAGGAAGATATGGATTTCTTCAACACATGGGTCGAGAAAGGAATTATCGACCGTTTAAATGTATGGATTCGTTGCTTTCTTTAGACATGTATCCGTCGTCAAGTCTTTGCCATGATTTTTTGGTACTTCCCTTTTGTCAAATCGTTGCGCATTTAGCTGAATATCCGATTCTTTTTGGCAGGACGTGGTTGAGAAAAGCGTTGTGCAGTTAACATACACCGATGCCGTTGCACTTCTCCTGAAAGCAAATAAGAAGTTTGAATTCCCGGTACTTTTACTATCTATACCCTCCGAACTTTCTAAAAATAACTCTGATGATTTAAATGCCCCCTTCGAGCCCAAATATAAGCAGTGGCTACTTTGTTTTACCTTGAGATTAAATGCGACTGTGTGGTAAAATCGTCCACGTGGTGGGGACTAAAATTAAATAAAGTTATTTACCAGTTTTTTGTTTTTTATATTTATTTATTTATAATTAGGTGACATGGGGATGTGATTTGCAAAGTGAGCACGAGCGCTACATCACCGAAGTGGCTTTCGGTGGCTGCCCTGTAATTATAAGAGATTACCCCAAGGCAAGAATATCTCTTTCCCGTGTTACGTCTGCATTAAACTGTTTGCATAACTAATAATTCAATATTTGGTTTCTTAATTAAAACTCTCAGGTAATCAAGGCGTTTTACATGCGCGAAAATGACGACGGAAAAACTGTTGCAGCCATGGACATGTTGGTTCCGCGGGTAACATTTCTAAGCAGGACTCGAAATTTCTTGTACATCAAATTATTGTTTTTCAATTTTCTCGGATGCTGACTCAGCATTCTTTTACAGATTGGTGAACTAATTGGTGGAAGCCAAAGAGAAGAGCGACTCGATTATTTGGAAAAACGCTTGGATGACTTGAACCTCAACAAAGAGAGTTATTGGTGGTATCTTGACCTACGTCGATACGGTTCAGGTGTGCAAAAATACATCATACAATTCCAAAATTGAAAATCCGAAATATTTTAATCAAGCCCTTTTTTTTTTTTTTTTTTTTTAATTTCCCCAGTGCCGCATGCTGGATTTGGATTAGGTTTCGAAAGGCTTGTACAATTTGCAACGGGAATAGACAATATAAGAGATGCAATTCCTTTTCCTCGAGCACCTGGCTCAGCTGAGTTCTGATGTTTGTCTTCCGCAAGAGATCGGGTCGCAAGTAGAATTGCTCGACAAATCTTAATTTATGTTTCCTCCAAATTTAGACATTCAACGACCAGATTTTGGTACTTTAGATTTTGCGATCGATTTTTTTTAGCTTCGCCTTTGAGGTACTATCAGGTAATTGCTGTATAATTAAGGGTCTCCTTTTTTCTATCTATATATATTATGGCGATATGAAAGGTGTACAAATTGCCCCAACCGCGCCAATAGTGCCCACATTGTGCTTTGTAAAAAATACACTAATTTTTGGCCAAGCCTAGTACGCGCATGGTCTTAGGTTAGTTCTTTATGTATATGCGTTGGCATCGGGTAAATAATCAATCTCGAGAAACGCACTATGGCTTTTTGGCCGACTATAACACATGTGAAGAAGGAGGAGATCCAATGCCTACTGGGCTTCCGAATTATCGAGAGGCACATATAATACTTTGGCATGTCGATTTCCATGGGCAAATCACAGAAGGATATCTTTGAGTACTTGAGTCATGATCGAATTTGGACAAGAATGAAAGGTTGGGGTGAGAGGAACTTATTGCGAACGGGAAATGGGATTATAATAAAAGTCGTGTTGTTGTAAGCAATTCGTGTCGTATATAATGAGCAATACAACGCTTTTCGTGGGGGAATGGTGATAAAAAAAAAACAAAAAAAACTGATTCGAGTTAACTTATTGTTGACCGCATAAAAAAAAAAAACAATGCCGCGGTTAGTTTGGCCGAAATTATGCATACCAAAATACGATTTACGACTTGTATTTTTTATAAAAAAATAATTTACAATTCAATTGGCGATTTAACAAACCAAACATCTTCATAGATGCTTTTCTACATACAACGAAACTAATTTGTTGGCATTACCAACATTTTCTGAATATTTTCCATATATAGTCATACTATTCAAAATGCTGCAGAAATTGAACTTCACATTGACTTCAAAATGCATTTACTGTCCAAGTCATATTTTGAACTCTTTGACGACTTTAATTATCAATTAATTACATTCATGTCCATTCAACTTGTATCGAATTTATACATTAAATAAATAATCCATTATATGAATAATTAAATAAATAAATGTTGATCAATAGTTTTAATATTTAAGTTACTAAATTATCAATTCAATTTAAAATTACAAAAATAATAAATAGGTAATGCAATAAAATTCAACAGATCAATATTTTTATTTTGTATTGGATTGCCAAAATCATTTATCGCAAAATAAGTAAGAGTCCGTTTGACTTTATTTCGTTAAATATATTTCAGTAATTTTTAAATTTAATTTCAATTTCAACACTACAATTATATCTTGCATTTTAATCAAAAGACTCAAATTTTTGAAGGATCTTAAATTCATAAAAGTCATATTGATTAGTATTATATCAATTTAACTAAAAAAAAAAAAAATGACATATAAAAACGTATTTCAATAGTTTGTGTGCCCTTATTTTGAATCTTAAAGAAGAGTATATCGGAGATTTGTTTTTTATTCTCGTTTTTATATCAAGGATCATTCAAAACTGTCCCTCGTAAAAATGGTGGTCACGTACGTAAATGAAGTTGAGGTTCCAAAAATATGCATTTGTACTAATTAACGAGCTTTTTTGTATGTTTTGATAAGTAATTCGGTTTCTCAAAGTTGTTATTAACTTTCTTTCTAGCTCATCCATGTAAATAGGAAAAAAAAGAAGTAAAATTCGTTAAGCTCAAGCACGTCAAACTCAACTAGAAGGGTGTTTAGCTAGCTTATAAGCTGTTATAAAGAGTATTGGAGATAATGACCATCTCAACCAATGACCTTTTCGGACTCTGATATACAATGTTGAATGACCACCTCAACCGAAAACTTAAGTTATTAGTGAAATGTGTATCATTTAATATTAATATCTCCAATAAAGAGCTTATACGATGTTTAACAGCTTATAAGCTAACTGTTTAAAATTTCAAAAACTAAGCTGCTAGAAAGCAAATAAGATCTATTCTAACAAGTACATCTACACAACATTTTAATTTAAGGTCTTACAATGAGTAAAAATAGCTTATAAGCTCATTATACAAACACTTTGAAAAAAATAATTCTAATAATAAGACATAACAACTTATTCGTTCTTAAAACAACTTATCAATAAGAGCTTATCAGTCGTTTAAAATAAGATCTTAAGTTCATCAAATGAGTCGAACTCTGCTCGAGTTCTATTATGCCCCTAGAGAATATCATTAAAAGATGAAATTGAAATATTATTAGTTGGAGGGGCTAAAGTTGTATTTGTTCACAGTTTGAGAGGGTAAAATAGCCTAAATAAGTAGTTAAGGGGGCCTAAGTGAAACTCAGCAATTTTCCTAAAACCAAGAAAAATAAAGATTGCTTAAAAACATGATTATGGACAATAATAATATTCCAATGATGTCAAAGCAATGAGGGAATAATAAATTAAAAATAAAAATAAAATTAAAAGAAGACTGCTGCTAAAGCATAGCCAATAAAGCTGGCTATAAAATATTCTAAATTATAATGCTACAAACAGATTTCCTAATTAGGCAGTCATAGTTAGAAGAAGAGGAGATAGTCACACAAAGTATATGCTCTTCTTTGCAGGTGGTACCCTTCAACCATATACTTATTTTATATATACAGAGAGAGTAGGGTCGTAACGGATCGGTTCTGGGGTGGATTTGTCGAAACCCGAGACTCGACCCTCGAAAAATATATAACATACCCCGTCCCCGTCCCAACTTATATCCGAATTAAACGGTTCTGACCCGCTAGACACATTAACATTAAAAAAAAAAAAGTTACGATTTTTAACTTTCATAATATTTTCCTTGTACATTATAAAAAAAGAAACTCTAAATTAAAAAGCATTATATCAAAAAGTGATATAAAGTGAATAATAAAATTATATAATTAGTTATATTTAATATAATAAATAAAGTTCAAAAGCCAAGATGACTAGCCGGAGTCAACAAGTGATATATATATATTACTTACGAAACGTGAGATTCAAAGAAAAATGAAACATTGAAAAATGGACAAATAAGAATAGACACGATGAAATTTGAAAGTTTGATAAATGAAATCCTAAATTAAATTGTATATATAAATTAATTATTAAATATAATATACTCATACGGGTCGGTTCTAATAAGACTCGTAACTCGACCCAGAACCATCCAAATCAGGTCGATTCCGGGTCTAAGATCCGGCAAACCCGTACCCATTTCCACCACTAAGAGAGAGAGAATCAGTGAAGCTGGAATATTAGACAAATTAATTAAGTCCATACTCAAAATGCAAGAAAAGTTATTTGTAATTATCTATAGCTATTGGACAGAACTTCATAAATAACAATCCTTGGAAGTAAATGATTTTTGTTTTAGGGGAAGTAATTTTTTTTTCTTTTTGTAATATTAAAATGCTACAGTACTATTTAAACAACTTGAAGAAATTTGATTGCTCAAGAGGTCAATTTGGTCATTTAACCAGCTGCACAATGTATCATATGAATAGACCTGACCACGGTTCGGTTCGGTTCCGGTTCCGGTTCCGAACCGCCGGTTCCGGTTCCGATTTTGGAGGAACCGGAACCGAACCGAAAAAATTCAGTTCCTTGCGGTTCGGTTCCTAACCGGTTCCGGTTCGGTTCCGGTTCGGTTCCCGGTTAGAACCGGTAGAACCGCCGGTTCTTAATAATATTTTTTTTTGATTTTTTTTTATATATATATATATATATATATATATAAATACTTTAAAAAACTTAAAAAAAAAAACACTTTTATAAATAGTTTTTTTTTTAAGTAGAAAGTATATTTAAAAACTTAATGTTTTTTTTAAATACGTAAATTTTTTTCTTAATACTTAAATATATATATATATATAT